GTAGGTAGGCGGGCAGGTAGGTAGGTAGGTAGGTAGGTAGGTAGGTAGGTAGGTTTTAAAGAAAACCCTTACTTCAGCTTCAAGTGTTACCCTTTAGAACTAAGAGTACAAATTATACAAATTAGGAGTTGCTTAAATCTCGCAGCACAGTGCAAACACAGCTCAGCGCCACAGTGTGAGTTCTTTGTCCGGCATGTGATATGAAGCCGTTGCAGATGACAGACGCTTCTCAATAGCATTAACTTGTTTATATCGTAATGAAATATAAAACAGCTTGGCACTTGTATTCAGTGATTTTACATCGACTATAATGGCTGAAAGCTACTTGCCACAAGCAGCATGCATTAGCGCGTTGCAGCTGCACAAGCAAAGGAAATCAACTGTTCTTTCAAATATCAAATCTTCCAAGCAAACTGAAAGAAAAACACATTATTATTATTATACAGTATGGGGTTAGATTTGTTTCGATAATATTTGTGCGAACATTGAAATAATTTGTGTGTAAATGTGTGATTTGTAATAATCCACAATATTTCACAAATAAAAAAAAGGAATTTGTGAATCTCTCTCTAAATTGACAACTTTCGATCAGGCCTTTGGGAATCAATGTTGTAATCGTCAACCAAAAATGCGCTCGTGGATCTCAAATCTCTGTTTGGGGAGCGTCTTTGTACAAATATAGTATTCTTTTTTTTATTTGTAAACTAATTATAGTATTTGTCCGGGGAATCATTTCCATAGATGTTGACCTTTTGCCCTCTGACGCAGATGCCCAGCCTTGCATTAACTGTCGGTGAGAGATAGTTATTGTTTGGGACACTGGGACTCCTATTCCTTCAGAAGTTTCCCCCACACTATTCACAGATATTTTTTTATTCGTAAACTAATTATAGTATTCACAGATTTTTTTTTTATTTGTGAAAATATTGTGGAAGGTGTTTTACGTTTACAAATCACACAAATAATTGTTATGTCCACACAAATATTATCGAGACAAATCTAACCCCATATTATTAACATTATTTTCTTTCAGTTTGGTCGCTTTTTTAGCTTAATTTAACGTTTTGTTCGACAAAATAAGTCCCTTTTTTGGCAACGCCGGTTTTCTGCTGCTGCCATGCACTCAGTCCATGTAAAATCAGTGACTTACAGTGACACCTGGTGGCCAAAGATGGGAAAAGCAGCTTGGAGATGAGAGCGCCTCCCATCCAAGTCTGGAGAAGAGACTGCACTCTTCTGATCTACCGGCCAGAGTGGTTTTGAGGTTTTATTTTGGCGGGCTGAATATTGCCATTATTGCGATTATGGCAATATATATGCCGTGTTTCTGATACCTGCCTTCGGTGGGAACCTCGGGGTAGATGATGCAGGGTTCATTGGCATTTCCTTGAAGGACAGTTATATCAGTCATTATGCACTCGTACTAAATGTTGGTTCATTTCAATACCTTTCAAGAATTGATGTGCATTGTTTTTATGCGTTTTACTCTGTTTTCTTTGCCTATATATGTTTTTGCTTTAAAGTCTATAGATAGATATAATAGATAGATAGATGGATGGATGGATGGATGGGTGGGTGGGTAGGTAGGTAGGTAGGTAGGTAGGTAGGTAGGTAGGCAGGTAGGTAGGTAGGCAGGTAGGTAGGAGGGGAGGGTAGGAGGTAGGTAGGTAGGTAGGTAGGTAGGTAGGTAGGTAGGTAGGTAGGTAGGTAGGTAGGTAGGTAGGTAGGTAGGTGGGTAGGTAGGTGGGTGGGTAGGTAGGTAGATACTTTATTGATCCCAATTTGGGAAATGTGTGCGTTGCAGCAGCATAAAAAACAAGGCAATACGAGAAATGAACACTAACACTAGAAATAAACAGTCCAAAGTTACTCTACTTTTCTTACACTTTTTTAGTGTATAAAGTGACTTGAAAGATGGGAAGAACATCAGGATATTTCTGTTTTGCTCAAGTTGGGAATATAGTCTCAGTTTCCTTCTTGAACACACACACATTCCTTCTCTGCAGTCTAGGTGAGCTTAAGGACACGAGAACCTCTCTACCTCTGCAAAAGCTCTGTTTTGAACGCCTTTACATTCTTGAAAACATGCATCAAATGTTACGAGAAGAAACCTGTTCTCTATTTTCCATGATTCATATTTCTTGCACTTCTATTTCACTCTGTTCATCGTTTCTTTGAGTAATTTTCTTTGCCTTTTATGCTTGTAAGGTGAGAGTATAGAGGGACTTGAAGGATGGGAATTACATCAGGATATTTCTGTTTTGCTCGAGGTGGGAATATAGGCTCAATTTCCTTCTCGAACACACACACATGGCAGCTTTACGCTCCGATGTGTGCCGTTGAAGGACAGTATGAATACTTCTCTTCTTTCCTCCTTTACCAGCTGTGTTCTGCTTATTAAATACAGAAATCCCACAGCATCACATTTTCTGAATATCATCTCTGAGTGAGTTTCAGTTTCCACCGTGTTTAGGTCCAGCTGATGGTGCCAAATGCAATAATACAGCAGTGTGTGAAGGTATCACTTTCTGAGTGTCTGACTCGCCTGAATCGCTGCATCTACAGTTGGTTGGTTCCACTGCAAATCCACATCAGTGCAAATGTTTGTTGGTACAGTGCTGCCATCCAGGAGTGGAGCCTCACACCGAACCTCCAGAAACATAAAGCCCCCGACGAGGCCTCCGCTTCTCACCTCAAACGCCATGGCAATAAAACAGAGGATAACAGGGATCACTCGTTTCACTTCTGATTGATTTAAGGAGGTATTAAAACTGTCATATCAACGTTTTAATCTCCATTTTGGTCTTTTATGGGCCTGAGCTTGTCCTTGGTTTGTTTCTGGTTTATAGTTTGTTTAATGGATTCATTTAAAAGAGGCAGGAGGTGTAAAATGATGTCTCCATTTCTGTAGAGAATGTGGGTTCGGTATCACACATTGCACCTTTTTAAATGTTGTGAGAAAACGTCATAAAGATATTCTGAATGGCAATTAAAAGTCTTTGGATTAGTGTCTCCTTACATCCTGACTAGACAGCTACAGAAGTCCAGCTTTGGACACACCTCACATGTTGTTGCTTTTACTGTACGGCTTTTAATTTGTCCATGCTTCTCCGTTTTGTCTCTTAATTGAATTTGTTTAAAGCTCAAATATGTTAGGCTGAATCAAGATTGTACTCTTGCTGGTTTCCCACATGTTGCCAACCTTAGATTAAAACTTTGCGGTCCCACAGGGCTAGGCAAGCGTTTGTATTATTATCATCAAATATATATCGTACAGCCTTACTCTCACAGGAAAAGAAAGCCAAATAGCGACATGCTTACAGGTTTCCACCAACAGATGAAGCAGTATTTCCCAACATGTGATTGAGCCTATATCAGTTTCTACCCAGCAGCAGCTTCTTCCATCAGTGGTCTCAGCATCAAATCCCCTCCTCAAGCATGCGGTTTACTTTGGTACAAACCAAAATCTAAGGTGTGGTAATAAAACTTGCGGTGTGGAGTTCACTGTCCTGCCACAGTTCAAGATCCTCAGTGAGAACTGGATCTGCTGAGTCTGGGGAAAATGGTGTGATGCGTCGTCTTTTCATCATGAGTGAAATCTAGATGGTGTTGAGGCGACACTTCAAATATGCATGCTCTCTTCAGGCTGCTCTTTTCATTTATAAAATATATTAGCAGCTGTTAAGGCTTTAGTTCAGATTCAACCACCATGTACTTCTTCATTCTCTCCCCTTGTCAATGTATCCCAAAACCTTCTTACATTAACTTCACCAAGAAACTAACTAACTAACTTCATTCAAAGCATTCATCCCATTTCCATCGATCCAAATTGCAACAAGCTAAATCTAATCTCCCTCTCGTAGCGCCACAGTTAGCACCATCTCCCCAGTCTTAGTTGTTTATAGACTGAGAGATAAAAGCAGTGGAAAGAAACCGTCTCTCTCCTCTTGGCTGGTGTTAATGGGTTCAGGCTACTCAGAGAACACAGAGCTCTGTGATCCTCCATGGATACAGCCATGACAATTAAAGACTGCTGTTTTAATGCCTCTCTTTGTAACAGCTGAAGTCAAACGAGAAACTTTAAAAGGCCATTTTATTTTCAGTCGAGGCAGCATTTCTCTCCAGAATTGAGATTGGCTTCGAGTAAACAAACACAGACGGATCTCTTTGTTTCTTAATGAATACTACCATGCAATTTTCCTCGTCCCTCTCCCACAGATGCATTCACTTTGTCAAATGTTCCAGAGATGCTAAGTTTAGCGTTGACCTTTGAGCGCCACAGAAACCCACTGACATGAGGGATCACTTCTCTGCCATTTCTTCCATTATGCCACCATGCAGTTACAATTGAGTTTTTCAAATTGATTTATGTTGCATTTGTTCTTGGACATGCAGAGAAACTAGTCTTTGGCAGAGGTGGGAAGTAGTGGAGTACAAATACTTTGTTACTGTACTTAAGTACATTTTTCTGGTATCAATACTCAGGGCCGCCGCTTGCAGACAGGCAAGGCAGGCAACTGCTTGAAGGTAGATTAAGAAGGTCCACAGCAACGACAACATGAAACACCCTTTAAATTACTGCAATGACATGTTGAGAAACCCCCTCAAGGCGGCCCCATGCATAGCGCGCCCTACTATGCTGCTTCTTATCTTAAGTTTCGTTGCCTTGCCCCGCTCCGGGGGGGGTGTCGGGTGCTGTCGGCTGTGCGTGGTAATGAAAAGCTGTTTCGAGGGGGCCCCAGTGAATGTTTGCCTAGGGCCCCCACAGACTCTAGAATCGGCACTGTCAGTACTTTACTCCACTTCTTATTTTTCTGACGACTTTTTACTTTCTACTTCTTACATTTTGAACACAAATACCTGTACTTTCTACTTCTTACATGTTGAACACAAATACCTGTACTTTCTACTTCTTACATGTTGAACACAAATACCTGTACTTTCTACTTCTTACATGTTGAACACAAATACCTGTACTTTCTACTTCTTACATTTTCCAAACAGGCTGGTTCCTTTAGTTTGAATGTGTGTTTGGTGGCGTGATCATTATTATTTAGAGTCATTGCGTGCCTATTGATTTGAACACGATCCGTGTATCCATCATTTCCTGGTCTTCTCTAAAGAAGAGGGACCAATGAAAACGTTGTCATGTTGTCGTTGTTCAGCATGGAAACATTCATTAGCTAACAATGACATTATTGTTCTATTAATATAAAGGGAGGTCAGGTACTCTTTAAAACAGCTGCTAGTTATGGGTACTTTTT